TATAATTTTATATATTTGTATATAAACGGACATACTTCATATATAATTATATCTAATTATATACAATAATATATATAATTTAATATAATTTTATATATAATTATATATAAAACATTTTTTCCCAGGTACGTATACTGACTTCGCAAAAATTACACTTCAAATAATGAGTTTCATGTGCGGAAGCGAAGTCCAATGCCGAAATCAACGATAACATTCGTAATAATCGTAATTATAATCGCAACGATAATATATATCAATAATAACTTTCGAAACACATGCTTCATAACAAACACATATATTCGTGCACTTGCGTATCTCGTATTACATGTCTCACATTACACATATGTACATAAACGTTAAAATTCTGATAATACTACATATTGAACATTATCTGAGATATTCAATGACATGATCACTCGATTATATTATTTACTTTTTAAAATTCTATTGGTACAGAGTATTGCAACTGCAGGTTACATCATTAACCTTGTAACATCGGTATTCTTAGATTTTATCGAGTAATTTTGTATCTACTACAATTCATTAAAAAGGTGCTAGATTTGCAAATGTTACTTACCAATATGAGCTGAATTCAATTATCGATTACTTTTTGCAAGTATTTACACGATACTCGCTTAATCATGTCGCAATTCTATAGTGACAGATGAAATCGTAATTTGCGTTTGTACACTCGCGAGCGCAAATTTGCGATTGCACTCTATTCGGTAACTGACTTAATCGATTAAAAGCTCCATTCTGCTTCGTAAGCACAGACGTACGTGGCCATTTGCGTCCTCACAATCAGTCAAGTGAACAAATGCGTATACGTCAAGACAAAGATAGGCGTTCCCCTTAGGAAGTTCTACACCTCCGACATTGCTGATAGTTCGCGGGTAGATGAGTAATACGTTGCGTTGGCTATTTCAATTAGAGACTTCGACTATACATTTGCAATTTTATATTAAAAATTCAGTATATACTACTAAATATTTTTTATTTTTCATAGAAATAGTTTTCAATCTTCCGTGGCAGTATTTTTTAATTTAATTGCTAAAATCAATTTTTTTAATCATATTGAATAGTGGATGAAAAATCAATTAAACATAAAATAAAATGCTAGAATTTTTTATTTTTAATTTAACTTGCATGTGAAAAAGATCATATTAAATAACTTCAATGTATGTATATTTTTAGAAAAATAAGAGATAGAAGATTGTCGTAAAAATATTGTTATAATTTAGTATTAAATTTTTATATTGGTATAAGTTCGCCAATTAATTTTTTTTGTCATTACGTACTTTTATTTCATTTATCTGCAATACTCCAGGATTGGAAAAACTCACAATCAGTTTTAAAAGCAATAGTACTGTGTAGTAATATTTGTATAACACTATTAAACAAAAAATGATTTTTGTTCAAGTCTTTAAGCATAAGAAGGTAATATTTTCCATAATCTTTTAGGCGCTAAATACAATTACGTTTACTGCAGTGTTACTTTACAAGTGAAAGAGAAATTTTTGGTTAAAGTTACAAAAAAAAACTATTTTAGTGTATTTAGCATATTATTATAATCACATGAGAAAAAAATAACCTTGTAAATTTTCAATAACAGTATTAATAAAAAACATACATCATACTCTTGTTTTAGTAAAATACTATATGTTTTATTATTATTGTTATTGAATTAACAAAATTATTTTCAAATATATTGATGTAAATACAATGTCTTAGCGCTGAGACACTACCGTGCCTCCAGATATCTTTTTCCATGTACGATATATGACATGAGAGAAATTTCTATTGCAATCAAAATCAATTAAATCAAATTCGTGTTGTTAGAACCTGTAGTCCTTAAAAAAACGTATTCTGTTAAATTATTTATGGTAAAAAATATTTATGATTAATGTAAGTTCTATTATAATAGTCAATGTAAAAGTAATTATGACGCAACAAATTCTACCCAAGTAGAACAACAAAAATCATTATGATATCAAAATTATGTCAAGATGACTTCAAAATGATCATTAAGTCATTTTTCAATCATTTCTGGTTCATTTTAACGTCATTTTGACATTATTGTGACTTGTTATTCTGTTTGGGTATATTAATTATAAACATCTTTTTTTAAAAATCGTGTCGTTATAAGGTTACATAAAAATTTTTCAGGTGATACTTAATAGTATCGTGGTTTAACATTAATATATGTTATATTTATTATATTCTAAAAAAGCCGTACATGCATGTTTGTATCATATGTTGCTTTGAAGGACTCAAATGTGAATGTATGCTTGTACGTGTGTGTATGACCCAGTATCCGAAAAGGGATTGAAATAAAAATTGAAAATTTTTAATCTATTTTAATTAATTTGAATCAAAATTCTTTATTCATGTATGTGGATAGAAAGGAATTGAATGTGATAAAATTGAATAATTTTCTATTCATATGGATAGAAAGGAATTAAATGATGTAATTCTTATTCTTTTAATCCAATACAGGTTTGAGAGCTTTAAATCCATTTTTGTCCATAATAAGAGATTAGATCATTTTCTATTCATGTGTAGAATCCTATTCGAATAGGTCGTGATTTTCATGGATTCAGATAAATTCAAATATCTTTGTGTCAATCCTTTTCTATGATTATCCCAGTAAATTAAGATGGATTGAAAAGAATAAGACTCACTTTCTTCTAATCTCGTATTATGGACAAAAATGAATTTAAAGCTATCAAACCTGTATTGGATTAAAAGAATAAGAATTACATCATTCAATCCTATGTCATAGATTAAAATGAATTGCATGGCTTATTTTTTCCGCAAAACTTTTTTTCGATTAAAAGGAATACAAATTCTGTAGATTCAATCTCACGTCATGGATTAAAATGAATTGCATGGTTTATTTTTTCGAAAAATTTTTTTTCGATTAAAAGGAATACAAATTCTGTAGATTCAATCCCACGTCATGGATTAAAATAGATTCAAACATTGAATGGATTAAAATGGATTTAAAAAATCAAGAATTTGGATTCAGCAATGACCACATGAATCTATTTCAATCTATTTCAATCTTTTTCCGGATACTGGGGAGGAAACTACATGCTCTCTCTCTACAATTAATGACGGTTGAATCGGCAAAAGATATCCTAGCATGTATCTGGGACAGCGTGTCCCAGATTGATCGACAAATATTTCGTGTGCTGGTAGAATGAACTAAGCTGAGTCGGAAAATCCTATACCATTTTGCAATTTTCGCAATAATTGACAAGGTATTAATGACTAAAAATCGCCGAATATTGATTTTCAATAATTTTTTACTCAAGTACTATCAACTTTACAGAAAAACAATAATTAGAAAAACAACAAAACTTGTTTATTTTCTTCTTATAGAATCCTGAGAATTTTTTTTAGAATTTTTTAGTATCGCATTTTTCATGTTAGTAAAAAAAGTTGCCAATAAAAAATCCAGTACTGAAAAATTGATAAAAAATTCTGAAAAATTATCAGAACTCTATGAAAAGAAATTAACATTTTTTGTCTGTTGCTGTTTCTCTATAAAGTTTTAATAGTACTTGAGTAAAAAATTATTAAAAATCAATATTCGGCGATTTTTAGTAATTAATATCTTGTTAACTATATATTGCGAAAATTGTAAAATGATAGAGGATTTAATTTAGTTCGCTTTATTAGCACACAAAATATTGGCGGTTATTCCCCAGTGAGAAATGACAATGAAATTGATATCGATTCGACAATTTGATGCTTTCAACATCGATTCGATATTGATTTTATTATCATTTCTCATTGGGTCTGGGACACTGTATAATATAGGGACACTCCTGAGCCAGAGCGTCACGTGGCAAGGCCACTGAGTTTAGAGCAGTAGTAGGAAACAGTAGGCGTTGCCTGCAGGAATCAGCTCAAAATGTGCATCTAGTGCTGAGCACTGTTTTAACAGTTCGATCAAATAAATCTTAGCAAAATTTTTTATTTAACACTAACTTGTGATATCGTTTAACAAAAAGTCTATATTACTATTGGTGTTTTTTTAAATACTTTTTATTTTATAAAATACCTATTAATTCAATTGGATATTTCAGTATTAAAAAATCTCATACGTTACGAGTATTCGAATTTGTTACTGTATATTTTCTCTATACATATAATGCATATTCTATTTGCGAAATTTTTATATTTTTGTGTTCCTCTGCAATAAATATTTGTTTTGTAAAATTGCGTTTTTTTTTCTTAAGCAGTGGAAATCTGAAATCGATGTCCTCGAAGATACTTATCATAGTGGTCTATAAAGATATTCTAGAGTGATCTGAAGAAATAATACTTCATATACTCGTATAAGGTAAGATGAACAAAGTAAATTTAGAAAAATCTCGGGTAATTTTAGAAAATATGACGTAATTTGAAATACTTTAAGGTAATCTTGGGAATAATATAAGGTAATATTTGATAATTCAGAATAATTCGAGTATTAAGTAATCTTATGTAATCCGAGGTAAAAAATTTAAAGATTAACTCGTCAAGGATAATTTTTGTACACTATAACAGCTCATGACCAACTTCTCGAGGTAAATCTACTAATATAGTATTTCGACCGAACGCTTGAAACCAGCCTTCTTACCTGAAGAATTAGTGAATCCACTATGAATCCAACATTGCCAGTTTCCTCTTTGACTTCATAAGTGGTTGGAAAATCTTTGAGAACATATTTTGGTTCTAAGAAGAAAGTATATTTCGCAATGTTTACCGTCACGAGCAAATATTGTCGTCGAGTTCTTCTTGACCAACTTCGAAGATTACTTCATTACCATCCGTAAATATTTCATTTCATTCAAACATACACATTTACCCAGATAGACAAATACCTACACGGTATTAGTATGGTGAGCGTACGGCGTACTATGCGTGCCGATACCGTACCTGTCAGG